GCCCGCTGGCCACACACCCACTGGTTAGTCCACACTCCCGCTGGTTAGTCCACACTCCCGCTGGTTAGTCCACACTCCCGCTGGCTAGTCCACACACACGCTGGTTAGTCCACACTCCCACTGGCAGTTTCAGGGTGCCTGCTGAGGCCAGGAGCCAAGACAAGGACACACTGCCAAATGCTACCTGTGTTACCTGCAGATCTGGGGGACTGCTCTCCTTCGGGTCCCCAGATACCCCGAGTTTCCCGGGCCTGCCAGGAAGTGACGGGCTCCGCCCACCTACACGCCATGTGCCCACCTGGTGAGGGTCCAGGCCAGTGCTTTGTCCAGCTTTGCTTTTTCTCAGGGCTTTATTGGCCCCATGACGTTAACCTCAGCTCCTTCAAACCGTCTGGCCATATCGAACATGGCAGGCCGCCCATGCTCTGTCTGGAAATAGAGCCCAGCTTCCCACTCACGCCCTAGTACAAGGACAGGCTTCCTGCGCAGAGACAATGCTCATAAACAGCGTCCAAACTGCGGAAGGATCGGAGGGAAAGTATTTCCGGTTTCGTTCTCCAAAGAATTCTTTACCCGATTGCTATAAGCTACAGATAGCTTAAAGGAAAATTGTTCTAAAATCTGGAAAATAACCCACCAGGAGAATCAGCAAACAGGGACCAGCAGATGGTGTAATGGTCAGTTGCTGGACACCCACATAGTCGACCACAGTTTGAGTCCTGGACCTGGAGGCTTAAAACTCACGCCAGATGTGTGTGCATGCGTGTCCAAAATCCCAAGAGGAGACTGGAGGAGAAGGGATTGCAGCATGGCCATCCCCCAGAAGGACGAGCTCTTGCTTTCTGTCTCTCTGTCTCTAACTGGCAAGTGCATGCACCTTATAGCAAAAATCTCTCTAAAGAAAAAAGTCAGCAAACAAAAACAAAGAGAAGAATCAAAGTTTCAAACAACAGAGCCGCTTCAATATCAGAGTCCTTCGCTGGTCTGGCCTGTGTAACTAGCGCTCGTCTCTAGATGCTGGTTAGCACGTTCGAGTCCAGCTGTCCCATGAGCCAGGACCATGGGCACCTGTCCTTGTCAGAGCCACTCACGAGTCCTGGGAGAGCCGCGATCTGGGGCTGCAGCTGATGGCAGACACTGTCAGAGAAGAATTACGACAGGACAGTAACTGGCAGGCAGGAGGGTGGCGGTGAGGGCTGCACCTGGCAGCTGGAAAAACACGCTAGGCATATGTGCGTGCCCAGAACCCCGAGAGGACGGCAGAGGGGAAGGGACTGCGGTGTGGCCGTTGCTCTGGGGGCAGCGGGGAGGGAGGGGCAATGCCTTCTCACTCTCCGCTTTCTTTGTCTCTCTGGAAATAAACAAATAAGACAATAACTGTCCAGGTGACAGAGACTTAAAACGGCCACCCTGGGACCAGCAGATGGCGCAATGGTTATGTCGCTGGATTCCCATGTAGTCAACTGCAGTTCAAATCCTGGACCCGGCAGGTTAAAATTCACACGCCCAAAAATCCTAAGAGGAGAATGGAGAAGAAAGGATTGCAGCATGACCATCCCCTCAGGGGGTGATTTCTCGCTTCTGTCTCTCTGTATCTCTCTGTCTCTCCAGTAAGTGCATACACACTATAGCAAACATCTCTAAATAAATAAATTAAATTAAATGACCATCCTTACAAATCTCATGACAGTTCATTGTAATAATGAAGCAACTGACAAGCAAATTTGGCTGTTTCTGTGACATATGACATAATAAGATAATAAGATAATATAATAATAAGGTAATATCTACAACTACAATTACCGCACCCCAGGTGATGTGGTGCGTGCGGTGCTAGGCTCCCACATGGCCTGCTGCAGTTCAAGTCCTGGATCTGGCAGCTTGCTTTCTCGCTCTTTCTCCACTTCTTTCTAGTGAGCACATGTGCCCTATAGCAAATTTAAATAATAATAATTATAAATGAAATTAAATAACTCTTTAAAAATAGCTACAATTATGGCTGCTAACTTCTTATTAGGGCTATAGATTTCTAGAGCCTTCATTTAATTGCTGGGGTGTCTATTGATAACATAGGTCCATCCACCTCAAAGGAGGGTACCCAGCATCCCCATCTGAGGAAGCCCCTCACATAATTGAGTGCAGGACATAACCCTAATAGTTGTCATCTTCTTCTCTAAGGAGAGGGGACACTTTTTCTTTTCAGAGAGAGTGTTTTGTTTTGTTTTATGCTATAGGGCGCATGCACTCGCTGGAGAGGCAGAGAAACAGAGAGACAGAAAGAGAAAAATCACCCCCCAGGAGCTGGCCACGCCACAATCCCTTCTCCTCATTCCTCTCTAGGGATCTTCTCTCTTGCATCCCTCATGCACCCAGTGTAAGTTTTAAGCCTCCGGGTCCAGGACTTGAACCGCAGGCCACTATATGGGACTCCAGAACACAACGAATAAGCCATCTACTGGTCCCAAGAGACGACACATTTTGTTCTTAGAAATTCTAGGAGTACGCTAAAATCTCAAAGTTAACTCAAGGTCAAAAAGACTTAATTTAGAATTTGATTTGGGGAAGTTTGCCAATATCAAAAGGTTTAAACATTTGATTAAATAAAGATTATAGATTATTATGAAATAGAATCAAAATGACAAAAGATTGCAAAGGCAAATATGGAAATGTAAGAGTTATAGAAAAAGCCTTAGCTCCTTTAATATTCTGAAGACTGTTTTCTTAAGTTATCAGATCTGATAAAGAAAACATGAGACACAGGAAATTATTTTGGAAAAAAAAAAACACAAAATCTTTTCTTGGGAGATCACTCAAGAGCAACAGGAGAGCCTTGTCCTTTGACACAAGACCAGGCCTAGCTGTGTATCGGCGTGCTCTCAATACGAAGGCTCAGTCTGCAAACCCTTATAATAAATTCATTCCATTTTAGTCCTTTTCCCACACGAGATTCTGTCGCAAACGTCTTGTTCTGCTCGTTTTTGTCCTTTCTTCATTCACTCGTTCAGAAAGCACCGTTAAATAGCGTCTGTCCAGACAAACCACTCTTCTGGAACCCTCAGAGAAAACACCCTTAGGCCACCACGCCAGGGGACACGGTGTGCCCACTCCGGCTGCAGCGAAGCCAGGAGGTGACTTGCAAGCCGGAAGGTTTACACCAGTAAAGAGTCACCAGGTCCGGGAACCAGCAGTTAGCGTAATGGCTATGTCGCTGGACTCCCACGTAGTCGACCGCGGTTCGTGTCCCGGACCCGGTGGCTTAAAACTCACGCCGGGCACGTGTGCGTGCGTGCCCAAGATCCCGAGAGGAGAATGGAGGAGAAGGGATTGCGGCGTGACCATCCCCCCTGGGGGGTGATTTCTCGCTTTCTGTCTCTATGTCTCTCTCTCTGTCTGTCTGGCGAGCGCACGCGCCCTATAGTGAAAATCTCTCCAAAAAAAAAAAAAAAAAAGAATCACCAGGTCCGCGGCACTGGCTCTGCCCTGCCCCTGCCGTGACCTGCCCCGAACCACCCCACATGCACCCACCTGTTGCAGAGAGTGCCCGGCCTCCGGCAGGCCCAGGACTGGCCCATTCGCCTGAGGCAGGACAGGTGCGGGTCTGTTGGCCCCCAGGACCCGGCTGACGCCCACCGCAGGCCTGCCGGGCTCTCGTCGGCCGCCGCACACTGATGTCTCACTCCAGCACTTCCTGGCTCTTCTGTCTACCTCGGCCCAGCGCTCAGCCAGGCTGGGGGACCGAGAGTGACCCAGCTCTGGCACCCTAGGTCTCCTGACTGACCTCCATCCCACCTCGGCCCCCTCTCTCCGGATGGAGCACCCTGCCCCTGCTCTGTCCTGGCTAGTGACGGGCCCCTCCCTCCCGCAGACCCTGCTTCGCGACGGCAAGCGTGAGAGCATCGTCAGCACCCTCTTCATCTCCCCTGGCGACGTGGAGAACGGGCAGAGCATCGTCTGCCGCGCCACCAACAAAGCCATCCCCGGGGGGAAGGAGACCTCCGTCACCATCGACATCCAGCGTGAGTATCCCGGCCGCGCCCTGCTGGCCGGGGTGGCCGCCTCACACCTGCCGTAGCCCAGCGGCAAGGAATGGTCTGCCGGAGGACCAGCAGTTAGCGTAATGGCTATGTCGCTGGACTCCCACATAGTCGACCGCGGTTCGCGTCCCAGACCCGGTGGCTTAAAACACACCGGGCGTGTGTGTGTGCATGCCCAAGATCCCGAGAAGGGATTGCGGCGTAGCCATCCCCTTGGGGGGTGATTTCTCGCTTTCTGTCTCTCTGTCTCTCTCTGTCTGTCTGGTGAGCGCACATGCCGTATAGCAAAAACCTCTCCAAAAAATAAACAAAGAAACGGTCTGGCAGGTCCCACAGCCTGGCTGGTCGGCGCGCCTGGGCAGCCGGGCCTCCTCGTCATCCTCAGCGCTGAGAGAGCAGCCTCCAGGGGAGGGGCCTGCGTCCGGGCAGGACTTTGTCCCCACTGCTGCTGCCGGCCACACCGGGCACACAGAGAGTCTGCTCCGTCCCACGGGGTGGGCAGGGAGGCGGGACAACTCTCGGGCCCAGCTGTGCAGGTGCAGGGGTGGCCCTGAGGTGGGGCTCCTTCGACTTCGTGTCCTTTGGTTGTCAGCACCAGGTGGCCACTGCAAGGAGGGATGCCGTGGCTGGCCACTGCCCCAGGGCGTTGACTCAGCCACACGCTGTCCAGGCCTCTCCTGGCCTGCCATCGGCCCCATGTTCGGCCCTGCACTCACGCAAGACCAGCCACTTGCTGTGGACCCCCAGGCTGGTCTCAGTCAGCCGAGAAGCACCCAGACTCGCATCGGTGCCTTTGTGGTCTCCGCGTGGTGCCCAGCGGAAGGCCGAGCCCCAGGCCGGACGGGAGGGAACGCTCAGCCCCCAGAGCTCGCCACATCTGGCCTCCGGGCCCAGCTCCAAGCTTCAGATGGGCGCGCCATAGAATCACCGAGTCCTGCAGTCTCCCTCCTTCCCGCCTCCGTGCAGGACTTCCTCCAGACACACGTGCACACGCATGTGCACACACCCGCACATGCGTGCATACACGCACAGCCGCTGGCAGACACTACCAGACTCTCCGCAGCAGGGTCCATGCAGCGCGGCCCCCCAGCCACACGGAAGCTGCCTCCCCTCTGGTCACATGCCGGCACAGAGGTGGGACAGGACCCCACCGAGCAGACGGCTCAGACGCCCACTACACCCCCGGAGCGTGGCGGGCCCTGGAGCCTCCTCCTCACCCCCGGGATGGGCGCTCTGAGTCTGGGGTGAGACCCCCGGGACCTCACAGGGAGGGACAGCAGGCATGCCACAGGCGCCTCCACCTCCCCGGGGCTCCTCTCGGTGCGGGTGGGGCCTCCTGGGACCCTCGAGCTCTGCGGGTTTCTAGATTCCTCCACGTTATGCTGACGGCACCCCCGCCCCCCAGGACCGGGCTCCTGGCTGTCCTGGGTCGTTCTCCCAGCCCCACGAGATGCAAGGGGCTCCAGCCTCCTGTCCTCCGTGGAACAGGAGGGACTCCCGGCTCCGCTGGCCCTGGACACTGCTTGGCAGCGGCCGGGCCAGGCTCAGCCCTGGGGCTCGCAGCTCTCCTGGGGTGGGCGGCTCTCACAGCTCTTCCCAGCCTCACTCACCTCTGCAACCACTTGAGTCACACTCTCAGAGTTCGGGCTGAGCTGGTGGAGCCCTGTCAGGTCCCTCAAACTTCTCCATGAAGAGGCAAGCCGGCTGCTCCAGAACTGGGGACAACATGGGGACAGGCTCCCTGGCAAGGGGACCACCTGCAGCTGAGTTGGCGGTCCTCAGTCCCCATGGCTGTCAGCCCCATGGCCAGCCCCGGAAACCAGGCAGGGCCCACAGCTGAGGACTGTGTGCTCGTCTCTCTGAGGGTCTCTGGGTCCCACTGTGGTCTCAACCAGGAGCCCAGGCTGGGTGGAGTCCACGTGGGTACCCCACACAGGGGTGCAGGGAGCCAGCATCTGTCCAGGTCTGAGAACCCAGGAAACTGAAACTGGAGTCTTTCTCCACGAATGGCCTGAGCCTGGGGAGACTTCGGGACCTACCTGCACCCCGTGCAGCTGATGGGGCCGGCCGGGGACCACTGGGCCGGGAGGACTACGGGGACCAGGCTGCCCCGTAGCTCAGCCAGACCTCTGTGTCTGGTAGTCTCAAGGTCTCCCCTCCCTAGAGGGGTGAGCCCAGCCTGTGGAGGGGCAGAGCAGGCAGCCTGACCTTGGCAGGGACCTTCCCAGCTATCTCCAGGGTGTCTGCTTCTGCCTCGCCGTCCCCCGGCCTCGCCATGCCCCGGCCCCGCTGTGCCCGCAGGCTGCCCCCGCTCCATCTCCACGCTGGGTCCCCCAGGCCTCTTGGTCTGGTCCCCATCTCTGTGCAGCATCTCTCTCCACCTGTTTTCTGCTTCTCTGCAATCTCTTCTGAACTTCCCAGTTTGTCTGCATGTCTCTGAGTCCCTGCCCACGTCTCTCTATCTCCCTCTGCAGTTTCCATGTCTCTCCATGTGTGGAGTCTCTGCTTGCCTCTCAGCCCGGTGCCCATCTCGCTCCGGCCTCCTGTCTCCGTCGTTCCCCGTGTCTCTGACCTCCAACTCCCCACCTCCTGCTACTTAGCACTTCTGAGCAGCTGCTTCTCTGAGCAGCCTGGGGCCAGGACTCGCAGATGGTCAGCTGGTGAGGGCGCTCACGTGCCGTGTCCCAGTTAGCGAGGCCTGGACCTCTGCACACAAGTGACAGGCAGGGCATCTGGAGGGCCACACTCCGAGGCCCAGGCCTGGGCTCCCGGCCACGTGTCCCTCCCGAGACCAGGCCTCAAATCCACGCTGTGACGCAGGCACCTCCGGGTAGGGGGCAGCCTCTTGCTGAGTTCCCACCTATAGGGGACCCCAGGGTGGTGACACTCTGAGGGTCCCTGGGGTGAAACCATGTCACCAGGGTCTTCCTGCCTGTCCTCAGTCTGCCACGTGTCCCCTCACTTCCAGACCCCCCGCTGGTCAACCTGTCGGTGGAGCCACAGCCTGTGCTGGAGGACAACGTCGTCACCTTCCACTGCTCCGCCAGGGCCAACCC